AATTTGAAAAGGGCACAATATTTTGGATGTCTTTTAAATAGAAGCTATATACTCAACAGTCAAATTTTAAATTTCATTTCATTTCATTTAATTTCGTTTATTTCGATTTCCAATAAAATAAATAATGTACATGGGATTGCATTGTACATAGTAAAACAATGAAACTTAACAACATATTTGTAATTGGTCCACAGTGTACAATAGGCATATAAAACAGGTCGGTCATGGGGGGGGGGGGGACTGCTGAAAAGCTGTGCTTGTAGATTGCAGCCCCCTATAACTTATAGTTGCAAATACATAAACCAATTAAACATAACATAGAAGGAGCGAAAGGGACAGGGAAAGAAGGGAGACAACGAGAGAGGGCAGGGCTCTTACCTATAACACACACAACACGTCACGGACCGACTGGAATACGGATGACCAGTACAAAATGAATCAAAATATCCAAATGTATTTTATCGAGTTACATAAATTTAAAGAGAGAGAGCTAACGCATGATAATTACGCAAAAAATATTTTTTTAATTTGAATTTAAAAGAATTTAAACTGGGGGCATTCTTGATGCTAACATCAAGAATGGTCCATAGCTTCGGGCCTGCGTAAGTGAATATGGATTTAGCAAGTAAAGTTCTAGTTAATGGCAGATGAAATTCGTCAGATTGGCGCGTAGGGTATTTGTGTATAGTTTTATTTAAATTAACGGTAGGGCCGCTTCATAACTCTTATTTTGCCCTTCATTTAGATTCAGCTCATATCAACTCGCTTGTGCTTGTATTTGAACTCATGTTGGTAGTAATCACGGACAGGGGCGGCAATCCTGGGCCCGATAGGGAGACACGTCCCCCAGGAAATATGGAAATATAGCTAGAAAGAAATATAGCAGAATTTTCTAGAATGCATAATTTCAACATTGCAAAATCTCGCTTGGTCGCTACGCCCCAGCCCTCGCCCGATAACACAAAACTATGATATGACGCTCCCGGCCGTGATTTGGTTGGTGTAATAGATCTTTTTTTCCCTTTCATTACTACTAACCTAATTGTGTGCTATCACAATCATGATCGTTTCATTTTCCCTTTAAAGCAGGCGCGTAGCCAGGGGCGGTAGGGGTAGTAAGAGGACATAGGACGAAAAAGGAGCAGACAAAGAAAAAAATTGAAAATTCTGACAAGTCGAGAACGGTACAACGAATCGTCTTCTTTCTCTAATAATTTAATGAAATGTCAAATCTTCCGCGCTTCGCTCGGGAGGAGGGCAACTGAAATCAGACTAGGAATGGTAAAACGAATCGTCTTCTTTGTCCAATAATTTAATAAAACGTCAGAAGTTCATCTTCTTACTCTAATAATTTAATGAAACGACAAAGCTTCCGCGCTTAGCGCGGGAGGGGGGAACTCCATTCAGACAAGGATTAAGAGTCGTGAACGGTACAACGATTAGTCTTCTTCCTCTAATAATTTATGTAACGAACCGTCAAAGCTTACGCACTAAGCGCGGGCGGGGAAAAACTGTATTCAGACAAGGATTAAGAGTCGAGAATGGTACAAAGAATCGTCTCCTTTCTCTTATAATTTAATGAAACGACAAAGCTTCCGCGCTTAGCGCGGGAGGGGGGAACTCAATTCAGACAAGGATTAAGAGAAGTGAACGGTACAACGAATCGTCTTCTTTCTCTAATAATTTAATGAAACGTCAAAGCTTACGCACTACGCGGGGGCGGGGAAAACTGTATTCAGACAAGGATTAAGAGTCGAGAATAGTACAAAGAATCATCTCCTTTCTCTTATAATTTAATGAAACGACAAAGCTTCCGCGCTTCGCGGGGGAGGGGGAAACTCAATTCAGACAAGGATTAAGAGTCGTGAACGGTACAACGATTAGACCTTTTCCTCTAATAATGTAACGAACCGTCAAAGCTTACGCACTACGCGCGGGCGGGGAAAAACTGTATTCAGACAAGGATTGAGAGTCGAGAATGGTACAAAGAATCGTCTCCTTTCTCTTATAATTTAATGAAACGACAAAGCTTCCGCGCTTCGCGTGGGAGGGGGGGGGGGGGGAGAACTCAATTCAGACAAGGATTAAGAGTCGTGGACGGTACAATGATTAGTCTTCTTCCTCTAATAATGTAACGAACCGTCAAAGCTTACGCACTACGCGGGGGCGGGGAAAACTGTATTCAGACAAGGATTAAGAGTCGAGAATAGTACAAAGAATCGTCTCCTTTCTCTTATAATAAATTTAATGAAACGACAAAACTTCCGCGCTTCCCGCAGGAGGGGGGGGGGGGGGAAACTCAATTCAGACAAGGATAAAGAGTCGAGAACGGTACAAAGAATCGTCTTCTTTCTCTAATAATTTAATGAAACGCTATGCTCTCGCGCAAAGCGCAGGAGGGTAAAACTAAATTCAGATAAGGATTAAGAGTCGAAAGTGGAACAACGAATCATCTTCTTTCTCTAATAATTTCATTAAACTATGAAAGGCCAAAGCTTCGGTGCTTCGCGCGGTTGGGAGCTGAGGGGGGCTGAATAATAAGAGTCGAGAATGGTACAACAAATCTTCTTTTTTCTCTAATAATTAATGAAACGTCAAAGATTCCGCGCTTCGCGCTGGAGGGGTAAACTGAATTCAAACAAGGATTAAGAAACGAGAATGGTTCAACGATTCGTCTTTTTTCTCTAAAAATTAAATGTACCGTCAAAGCTTACGCGCTAAGCGCGGGCGGGGGAAAACTGAATTCAGACAAGGATTAAGAGTCGAGAATAGTACAAAGAATCGTCTCATTTCCCTTATAATTTAATAAAACGTCAAAGCTTCCGCGCTTTGCGCGGGAGGGGGGGGGGGGGGGGACTCAATTCAGAGAAGGATTAAGAGTCGAAAATGGAACAACGAATCATCTTTCTCTAATAATTTCATTAAACTATGAAAGGCCAAAGTTTTCGTGCTTCGCGCGAGAGGCGGGGGGGGGGGGGGGGGGGGGGCTGAATTCAGTCAAGTAATAAGAGTCGAGAATGCTTCAACAAATCTTCTTCTTTCTCTAATAATAAATGAAACGTCAAAGCTTCCGCGCTTTGCGCGGGAGGGGGAAAACTGAATTCAAACAAGGATTAAGAGACAAGAATTGTACAACGATTCGTCTTTTTCCTCTAATAATTGAATGAACCATCAAAGCTTAGGGGAAAACTGAATTCAGACAAGGATTAAGAGTCGAGAATAGTACAAAGAATCGTCTCCTTTCCCTTATAAGTTAATGAAACGTCAAAGCTTCCGCGCTTGGCGAGGGAGGTGGGAGGTGGGAGGGGGGGGGGGAACTCAATTCAGAGGAGAATTAAGAGTCGAAAATGGAACAATTATCGAATCATCTTTCTCTAATAATTTCATTAAACTATGAAAGGCCAAAGTTTCCGTGCTTCGCGTGGGGGGGGGGGGGGGGGGGGGGGGCTGAATTCAGTCAAGTAATAAGAGTCGAGAATGGTACAACAAATCTTCTTCTTTTTCTAATATTAATGAAAAGCCAAAGCTTCCGAGCTTCGCGCGGGAGGGGGAACTCAATTCAGAGAAGGATTAAGAGTCGAGAATGGTACAACAAATCGTCTTCTTTCTCTAACAATTAAAGAAATGTTAAAGCTTCTGCGCTTCGCGCGTAATGGGGGGGGGGGGGGCAGCGAGCTGCCCTCACATGAGTTTTTGATATTTTTCCTCGTTTATTTTGGTGATAAATAACACTTTCACAAAATACATATTATGCTCAAATTGTTGCTCACTCGCTTCGCTCACTATTTCGAATTGTGAAACCAGAAAATTACTTTTCGGACAAGAGGGTATAGTCCCCCCCCCCCCCCCCGATGAAAATGTCAAAAATTGTACCGGTATGGTGCTTCTAATATGACCTTGTCAGTATTGGTATGTTGAGTTGAAAAAACGGTCTGCGCAATTTTCAAATTTCCGGCCCCCCCCCCCCCCCCCCCCCCCCCCCTATTGGAAAATCCTGGGTCCGCGCCTGTTGACCCCACCCTAATTCGTGACCTAGTGTCACAAATAAGGTAAAAAGATACGCTCATCTGACGATAATTTAATCTATGAACCCCTGAGCTTCTGGGAGCTCCGCCCCCTGGACCCCTCACCAATTTGTGTCCTGGCAGTGTCACAAATAAGGTATCAAAATATGCTCATCTGACAGTAATTAAATACCTATTCCCCCTGAGCTTCTGGGGGCTCCATGCACCACTTGACCACCGCCGAGAAACGTTCAGCGGGGCCTGCATCAGTATGGGATGACGGGGGATTTTTTTTTTTCTCCCCCCCCCAAACATTTCTGTCACTGCCGGTGTCACAATTACGTACCAATATTTGGCTCGCATAATTTCAAATTTGGCCCCCCCCCCCCTAAGAAATCCTGGATCCGCGCCTGCTCCTTGATATGCAAAAAGCTTTTGATACGGTTATTAATCATTGCGTCTTACTGAAAAAGTTACAACTGATGGGTTTAAATAAGGCAAGTTTAGAGTGGTTCAGATCCTACTAATCATAATCGACACCAAGTAGTGGCCATTCATGATATTCGTTCCAAACTATAATGTCTATAACGTGCGGTGTTCCTCGGGGAAGATGACAGCGTATCCTGATCCTAAATATAATGAGGAAAAGCTCAGTGAACAGCTGTTTACTTGTGCCGATTGGATGATTGATAATTAGCTTTCTTTACACTTGGGAAAACCGAAAGCATTTTGTTTTGTTCTAAAAGTAGTTCTAAAAAGTCATTTGAATTACTTCAAAGTGACACACAACAATCAAGACATCAAGAGAAAAGAGTCTGGGAAGTATTTAGGCATTGAGTAATTGGCTACCTGCCTCCCCCTGCCCCACCCCCGGCCCCCTATGCATGTTCCCTCCTTTTGAAAACACCCCCCCCCCCCCCTAATAAGTCCGGTGTGTACGTATACGCGAGAACTATTAAAGTAAGAGAGCGGTACAGATCGACTGTACAGCACAACACCCACAGGTCGAGAGCACAGAACTGTAAAATATGTGGTCGTCGAGAGTGATCAAGTGAGCGTGGTGGCCGTGGCAGCCTGGCCCTGGTGAGAAAGTAGATTTGAATTCATGAATCACAGGTAATTTATCACTGTGTTTTAATATTTCGGCGCTAATTCAGGAATTAGCGCCAATATTTCTCATTGTAACTGATTTTCAAACTCTTGTAACGCTATTTACAGCCAGGGAGCTCCGATCCGAGGCCTACGCCGCGCTGCTCAGAAGGCGTCCGATTCCCGGCGGCGCGCGGCGTCGGAGCTCCCTGGCGTTAAGGCCTAGCTGCAATAATACTATCCTGGCGCTGGCTGTGTATTAAAATTCGTAAAAGCTGTTTTATTAATTCTCAACATTTCAAACACCACTGTACAAAACTCAACTGATTTCCCTAAAAATCGCTACTCTACTTTAGTGACAGTTGATGATGACACCTAGATCTAGGTCTAAATGGATCTCTAGATCTAGCAGTAGCACAATTGTAATTTGTAGCAGTAAAATAAAAATTTCAACTTTGAACTTAGTTAGAATAGAAGGAGGGAGTTTTCGGCCACCCACTTAGATCTAATTAGGCAAAATCCTATTTTTGGACTCTTTACTTCCTATTTATTATCATTTTTTTTGTTCAATCATGAAACCAATACTATCATTAATTTTAAACAAAAAAAGAATCCCAGAAAAAAATCATGAATTGCCATGGCAATTATTGTTGACGTTATTCAGCACAATAAACACCCTCATCATCCACCAACTGTCTATTTAAACAAAGGAGTCCTGCCAATGCCGTGTTATGATACCATGACGTTTAATGCGCAAAGCGCAAAGCAATGCACAATGACTGAACATCTGAAGCAAAGTGACGTGTATAACCTGAAGTGTGGTTCAATCTGTATATGAACAAACAAAACATAAACAATAAAATACCTTGCTTATAAATCAACAATCACAAGCATTATCCAATACTGCTCTATTGTAAGCCAAATAGCGGAATCTTATTACCACTTAACTGCTTTAATTAGCTTGACTTCATCAATATTCATGAACATATCATACAAAACGTCCATTTACACCCACTGACTGTCAATGTCATGAGTCAAATTCTACACAACTCAAAATTAACTATGCCAGTTTTGTGGCTAAATCGCCCTTTCACAATACTAAGTAATTTATCTACGGTTATCTTGCCTGTTAACCTCATAACATTTATATCCCTAACCTTACATGTCATTATTTATGTTTCATACGTGCCTTTATCAATTTACTCACATACATGTACAATCCTATGCACTTGTTTATACATGCTCATGCGAGCAGCCATTTTGAAATGCCCAACCATGTAGCTATTTCATAACCCTTTTCATCAATACAGTCACTAATAATCCTTAAATTATCACAAATTAATAATCATACTACTCTTTAACATCTTAACTACAGGATTTGACATGAATTAACACTTACAACATTGGGTCTCGACAGGATTGACTTGATTAATAGTCGGCGGAATCACTGGGTAAATCTTCCCACTCACAGAAGTATTTGCTGTGCGTAGTGGTTAACGCCCCCACCGGCCAAACTAAGTTATTACGAAAATGACGACAAAATTCTGTCCGCAACAGCAATATTGATTTCATTTTCACTGTACAAAGTCAATAGGGAGCGGCACCATATGTTGTTGTAGGCAGGCGCGTACACAGGGGGGGTGGGGGGGGGTTCGGGGAGTTAAACCCCCCCCCCCCCCCCTTTGGTAATTTTTTTGTATGTAAACCCCCCCATAACCCCCCTAAACCCCCCCCCCCCCCCCCCCCCTTTGGTTTTGGTTTTTTTTTAAAATTATTCCCATGGCTGACCTAAAAAAGGTGACCGTACCCCCCCCCCCCCCCCCGGGAGCAAAATGTCAAATTTTCAAATTTCGAGACCCCCCCCCCCCCCCAAAAAAAAATGTTCTTACCCCCCCCCCCCCCCCCCCCCCCCCCCCCCCCCCCCCCCCCCCCCCCCTCCGCTTATTCAGCGGTCGGCTGAGTCGTTGCAAATTTTTTGGGACTCCCAAAAAAAAAATAAATTTCGGCGCGATTTATAAATGTTAAAACCCTCCCCCCCCCCCCTTGAAAAAATCCTGCGTACGTGCCTGGTTGTAGGTAATAGTTTAATGGCGTTCATTCAGTATTGAATATATACGCCATATCTTTAATTTTATTAGAAAATCAGTTAAACATAAGAAAACTGAGGATAAAGATTTGTAATAAAATAATTAATAAATCAGTAACGCAATTTATTAGGAGTTTCTGGATGGTTTGCAACTTTGTGTTTCTGCTTTTTATAAAATTTAATCTGGTCAGCCCGGTTTCGATTGCATGGAAAACTAGCTTTGCCCGATTTGAAATGGGCTTCTCGGCTACTCGGCATGCGTGCGCAGTGATCTTTTAATTTTGTAACGCACGGTGCCTAGACCACTCAGAAACACAGAAACACTAAATTGAGATGCGTCGTTGATAGCTGATAAGTAAAGAAAACAGAATTTGCATTACAAATTAAATCAATTCAATTAACATTAAAACTTTGCGAATGAAAATAATACATGTACATAATTACAAATCACTTACAACCAAAATACAAATAGTTCATAAATTAATAGTATCCTACGTTAATCTACAAAAAATAAAAGGCAAAAGGTCAAAAGGGCTATTCAGGAACAAGAATTAAAGGGCCCATGACATCAAAATACAAGTTTATTCGTGTTGGTGTGCAGTCCTGCATACTTCTCATATTTTGATATGTAAACTTCTGAATTTGTTTCATACATTTTTAAATATTTTTTTAAATATTTGTTTTTTAAACTTGCTAAGCTCCACCCCAAAAACCTCCAGATCTCATTCCCCTTGTGACATCATCTGTCAGTCATCAATGAGCTAACTTGAGAAAGTGATATGTATCTTTGCCGAAGTCGACCACCTGTTACATTACTTAACACAAAAGCAACATACAAGTTGCTATGTCAGACATGCTGTAGCATCACCAGAAAGACAAAGGCAATGGTGATGTATTGTACATATGTATGGAAGCATGCAATTCTATTATGAACGTGTGCTAAGCTGGGGGAAATTACATACCATTGTCTATTCTAGAATATTAGTTTAGTCTGACATGTCTGACATAGCAACTTATATGTCGCTATTGTTTGTGGTATTGTAACAGGTGGTCAACTTTGGCAAAGTTACATGACACTTTCTCAAGTTAGCTCATTGATGACTGACAGATGATGTCACAAGGGGAATGAGATCTGGAGGTTTTTGGGGTGGAGCTTAGCAAGTTTAAAAAACAAATATTTCAAAAAATATTTAAAAATGTATGAAACAAATTCAGAAGTTTACATATCAAAATATGAGAAGTATGCAGGACTGCACACCAACACGAATAAACTTGTATTTTGATGTCATGGACCCTTTAAAGAGATTTGTTTGTACGATTCTGGTCCGTTTTTAGGCATTTCTTCCTTCCTTCCTATCTCCACTATATCTAGATCGTACAGACTTCTAACAAATTCTTTGAAATGCTAAGCTCCCTTTTCATGTGTAGCGTGTGACTTTATGATCTCAATACAAAGGTGTTGAGCTCTGACTGGCACTTCCGTAAATGCACTGTATAACACTCATACAGCGCATTTTACGGAAGCAGCACATTTACATTAAGGGATCTAAGGTGCATCGCTCTGGTAAGGTATTTGCTAAAATTTCGTTATATTTACCTCCGATTTAGCATAAGAAATAGAAGTGGCATAAAATTCATTAAGGCTGCTGACCAAGGTGTGACTTCGGACACATTTTAGGGTTTGTTTACATGCCTCTCTGCATGCTTGTATGGGAGCCGTTTAAGGCTTGGTGATATCAATATCATTAAAATATTATCACCTAGCTAGTTAGAGTTAGGGTAAAGTGACCGTTTTTGCAGCTTGGCCGAGTTAGCTTGTTATCAGATTTGGTTGTGACGGGGTTGTGCTGCTGAAGCCTCAAAACTTCTACCCATTTTTAAGGGTCATTTTGGCGGATTTTTTTTTTCAAAGTAAAGCCCATTTTCCAAAATTTTGGGGTGTTTGCATGGCAAAAACCCTGAAAATTTTGAAAAAGCGGACCCATATTCAGGGGTATTTTTGTTAAAAATGGGACCCATGTTTAGGGATTTTTAGGTGAAAAAGTTGCCCATCAGAGTGGCACACCCCTGTACAGTATGTCTTAATATGTGAGTAACTCCCCTATCCCCCCCCCCCCCCCCTCTGGGAGAGATGGCCTACATACTGGTAACTTAAAGGGATAGTTGAGTTCTGTTGCAGAGGGCGCTACATAATATAATTTTTTCGTGAGATAATGAAAAACTGAGTGTGAAATTTGAAAGAACATACAATTTAAATGACAACATCATCTTTGTTTGATCGAAATCGGTTGAGAGACGGCTGAAATATCCATAAATAGAACAGTTTCTAATACATGGACATGTAATTGTGTATCACCACAAATATTCAATAATTTGAAAAAGCCATTGAACAACGAAATAGCGCCTTTTACGTCGTATTTCAGCCAATGCCAATTGGCTTTTTCGTGTTGGTTATATTACCTACAACCAGTCGGCCCATGTATTGTTATTTTTAATCAATTAATTGATCAACGGTCACCTTATTTTTTTGAAGTAGGGCTGAATTGGTATGATCGTATAGGCTAAATTTCACAATTTTTGGGGTCTAAAATTACATTCATAGCAATTTCAGGTTCCAAAAGGGCACTAGAAATGTCATAGATAAGAATAAGAGCAATAACCATGCACTTTGAAGGCATTTGCGATCTGAAAACAGAACTCGACTATCCCTAAACGAAGGACAAACAAGATGAGTATGTCGCAATTCTTGTCTTTCTTAAAATAATGCACAAAGCGTGGAGGTGAGTGTGCGTGCACGACGGACAGAGAGAGAGAAATACAGAGAGATAAGAGATAAGAGATTGGGAGAGAGAGAGCAAGGTGAGAAACCCGGAGAAAGGAAACGCGAGGGATTAGAATAGAACAGTGAAAAGACAGATATTTAGGAGGCAAGGAGAGTCGAAGAGAGAAACAGAGTCGGAGAGTGCTTGAGCATGATTACGCCAACTGATTATCCGAAGAGCCAAGAGAAGAATAAAGTGTGTGAAATGTTGATAGTCTTTACGTGTAGTCGTTTAGAGATGAGAAGGAAAAAGAAATTATCTTCATCATTTCTCTTTTTCTATTGAAGTTAATCATCTTTCAAATATTTGTTAAACTTATTTTCCCTCTCAAATCTTGCCTTTTAACAATTTGATCTTCTTTCTTACTAAAAATACAGAATCATTTACTTTAAAAATACAGAATTATATTTGCCTTTAAAATGCAGTTTTCGCAGGTTTTCTTTTCTTTCTTAAGTTTCTTTCATTTTGCTTCTCGATCCCTCCCCCATATTCATTCACATCTCTTTCACTATCGACTTCCGCTCATTCTCAGTTCCCCCAAAGTTTGTCGTGCCATAGAAATTATGTTTAAAAAGCACAGATATTCCTGGAAGACTTTACACGCCCATGTGTTGTGTACCCACTCGATGACAATGATATTTAACGACAAGGCAAAACATTTTATCAAATATTGTTTCAAACACAGATAACATGGCGATGAAGCAAGAAATTGATTGTTGGACGTCTCTCTCAAGTGCAGATGGAGAAGGAGAGGGAACTCTTCAGTCATCACATGAACGTGATGAAGGTATGGTTGACTGGAGTGTGTCAATGTGCTGTGCTGTTTTTGGTAATGTTTCTGATGACTTTGACAATATAAGTTCAACATATATACAGTACTCCTTTTTATCTCAAAATAATTGCCCTGTGAGTGTGATTTCTTTTGTCTTTGTTTGTGTTGCTGTGAGACGGACATTTGTTTTCACTCAGTAATTATAACGTAATTAACACATACAAATTACAAAGGTGTGAAGAGTAGACCTATTGCAAGTCTGAAAAATTTTAAGGAGCTGGACCTTAAAGATGGTACCTCTAGTACATAAATTGTGCAAAAACAGTATAAGATTGCCACTGAAGAGATTCCTTAAACTAGTAAAGAAAGCTCTATCTTAAAAGAAAAGAATAATATTAAGGATACAGATAATATACACTTTTTTTTATACAGATTATTTCAACTCTGCGCTGATTTAAACAAAAATATTAAAGCTATATTCAATACACTTAAAAAAGTATTGTGATTCACGAGTGTAAGGCATGTGCAATTGAAAATGTAAAGGGAGATTGCTGGCAGTTTCCATGTGCCAAGGTCATAATACGCTGACATCAGATTTGGTGGAAATACCATTGATGGGTGTAAAAGTCCGCAAACAGCAAACCGTAGTCCCATCAAGAAATACCCCTAGCAGAGATGCCAAGTGTTCCATTTTTGCCGTATTTGTTCTTTTTTTTTGCTATGAATACTTCAGTATATTTTTTTAATGTTTTGTTTTATTTACCAAAAAAAAATATTGATGTTTTTCTTAATTCCCGATCATGGGCTTTGTGTTGTATGCCTATTATGCACCTATATCTTCAAAAGATACACGCAGTACGGTGATACAGGGCCCAAACTGCGCACGTTGCAAACAACCCACGTGTTTGATTTGTTCACAGTTTGTACGATTGTTCAAAAAGACAGCTGTAGTATAGCGAGATATTTTTTTTCTCAAAAATCCTGTTTTTTCCTTTTAAGAATATTTTTTGTTGATGAAGGTTGGCATCTATGCCCTAGTCTCTCAAAGAGTCTTCTGGTGTGGGAAATGAAAGATTAAAGATAATGGCTTTACCATATACATGTATGAGGATGGGTGGAATAAGCAGAGCATTACATACATGATGTAAGGCCTGTTGGTCATATTACTGAAGGCTATTAATCATGGTGATTGACAACACTTATTATTTGGTAAACACCCAAATGGTGTCGATTCCCCCAGTGAGAGCCCACTACAATGCATCTTTAGGTTGACCTTCATTCTCTCACCGTACACATCAAATCACGAAGAAGAAGAAAAAGAACTTCAAAACTTGTCAGTCCGCTAGCTCAGAATCAAGAATGTTTACAATATTTGCACCAATACAACCTCTAAACAGATATATAATACTAGTACATGAATATACAAAAACACAAGTCGCATATTCATAAATAACACAAGTATCTACTTCACTCTGTATTATAGAAATGATTAGTCTATAATGGTCAAGAGTTTTAATGATTTTTTATTTTTACATGTACAGGAAACATCTGCATCAAGGAGGAAGGAGAAGTTGAGAAGAAGACGTGTCTTTCCATTCCAAGTTCAGATCGTTTGATATATGAGGGTCAGCTTGTAACTCAAGACGGTATGCTATAGGTTCTTGAAGGAAAATCAAACATTGATAGCAAATCGTGGATTGGTGAAAGTTAGAACAAGATCGTACAAAAATAAGGAAGTCTATGAGTATTTAAAATAAGATATCACCAAGTCTCTGCAAATCACCAAATCGGCGATGTGGTTACTGGAATGTTTGTCGTACAAAAATACCATTACTTTCTGTTTTTCTCTTCAGCTCCTTCTCCCATGGGGTACTACTACAAATATATTGTGTATATAATGTTTTTAAGGTTCTCTAAAAGGAAAAGACACACCCGAGTCATAGATTTTGAAAAATTTATGTTTTAGTAATTTTTTGTGTTGGAAAAAATAGGAGGGTGGTCCAGCAGTACGTCATAATGAATTAACAGATTCAGCCAATTTGAAGTGCCCATATGTTTAGTAATAACAACTTTCTTAATTTTTGTCCGATTTGTTCCAACTTTCCCCCATCTACTTCTCAGATTTTTCTGCTCTCTTTTATACCCCCTTCACATACACCGATTTTTCTTACGAGTCCTTACGGATCGCACAAATTCACAGATCTTTCACGGATCCTTACGATGTGGCCACTTTTACGACCGGTTTAAGAGTTATTACGAACTATTTGCTGTTTATTACGGATCATTACAAGTTATTAAGATGTATTTACGGCAACAGTCCAAGGATTGTTACGACTTGTCACGGATAACTACGAGCAACTAACGTGTTAGTTACGACCTGTTTACGTGTTGTTACAAAGAGTTACAAGTATGTTTTCTTTACATTGTTATGTCATGATTTTTAGCCAAAAATAATAACTGAAAATGAAGTGTTCGAATTTGCAGCTTTTATACCTTTCCCCAAATCGTAAACAGTTTGTAAGCATACGTAAAGTATACGTATCTAGTCGTAAAGTACTCGTAATTACACTTAAAATGCTCGAAATAACCCGTATCAATCCGTAAAGCCATCGTAAAATGACCCGAATAAAATCTTAAACACCACGTAAGCACACGTAACCATCCTTAAACTGCTCGCAATAATCCGTAAATAATCCGTAAACTGATCGTAAACTTATCATAACGAATCGTTACAAAAATCTGTTACGAGTCATTTACGGATTCTTGCAAGCAGTTTACGGATGGTGGCGTGTTGTTGCGAGCGGTTGACGGATGGTTACGAGCTATTTACGAGCTATTTACGGACAAATCAATCCGTGGACAATCGTAAGAAGATTTTCGACATGTCAAATAATTTGCCTCTTCTTTCACGGATCTTTAAGAGTGTCTACGAGTTGTGACAATTATTTACGGATGCTTGTGATTGACTACGAGTTGGCGATCCGTAAGGACTCGTAAGAAAAATCTGTGTATCTGAAGGGGGTATTAGAGTAGTTTGCTATCAAGGTTGAATATCTGTTAAAAGGAAAATCAAACTTTAAATTGTTTGAGCCAGCCAGAAAATCCCATAGGAAAGTGAAAAGTATGCCGCAGACCTGCCGCAGACCTGCCGCAGATCTGCCGCAGACCTGCCGCAGACTTTTAGTCTGCGGCAAAGAGTATGCCGAAGTATGCGGCAGAAAGAAATTTTGCTGCAGACTTGCCGCATACCAGTATGCCACAGGAACAGTCTGCGGCAGATCTGCGGCAGGATGAAATTTTGCTGCAGACTTGCCGCATACTAGTATGCCACAGGAACAGTCTGCGGCAGATCTGCGGCAGGATGAAATTTTGCTGCAGACTTGCCGCATACTAGTATGCCACAGGAACATTCTGCGGCAGATCTGCGGCAGGATGAAACTTTGCTCCAGACTTGCCGCATACTAGTATGCCACAGGAACAGTCTGCGGCAGATCTGCGGCAGGATGAAACTTTGCTCCAGACTTGCCGCATACTAGTATGCCACAGGAACAGTCTGCGGCAGATCTGCGGCAGGATGAAACTTTGCTCCAGACTTGCCGCATACTAGTATGCCACAGGAACAGTCTGCGGCAGATCTGCGGCAGGGCGAAACTTTGCTCCAGACTTGCCGCATACCAGTACGCCACAGGAACAGTCTGCGGCAGGTCTGCCACAGGAAATCCCATTAAAGTCTAATAGGGCCAATTGAAACCAATCATCTCATGCATATTCATTATTACTTTACACGTGTGACAGAAAAATACATTTATCATGATTTGTTAAGCAAATTAAGACAATGCACATCATTTTTGTGATTTCTATTTTCCTTTTGCCATTATTAACCAATAGATTATTTTGTCTGATCATGTTACAATTACATTCACGTTTAAGCAATAGATATATTGATTACTAACCAAGAAACTATGATTACTAACCAAGAAACAATATACATATTTAGTATATATATGTGTACGAGCCTGTGTCACTTTAAATGTTACTCTTGAATACACTTCAAATGATCAATGTGATGAAGTTAATACAATTGAGAATAGAATATACCTAATTGGTAATATCGATATATATTGGTATTACCTAATTGGTAATATCGATATTGCCATTATTGATTATGAAGTATCAATCAGTTTATCACTGGTTCTTCTACATGCATACTTTATTGCCACGTACTGGATATGAAAGAGTATGCGGCAGGTCTGCAGCAGGTCTCTTCATCATACTGAAAGAGTATGCGGCAAGTCTGCAGCAAGTCTGCGGCAGACCTGCCGCAGACAGTCATCTTTTTCACATGCAAATTAGTTTTGCCGCAGACTTGCCGCAGACTTGCCGCATACTCTTTCAGTATGATGAAGAGTCTGCGGCAGGTCTGCAGGTCTGCCGCAGACCTACCGCAGACTCTTCATCATACTGAAAGAGTATGCGGCAAGTCTGCAGCAAGTCTGCGGCAGACCTGCCGCAGACTCTTCATCATACTGAAAGAGTATGCGGCAAGTCTGCAGCAAGTCTGCGGCAGACCTGCCGCAGACTCTTCATCATACTGAAAGAGTATGCGGCAAGTCTGCGGCAGACCTGCCGCAGACTCTTCATCATACTGAAAGAGTATGCGGCAGGTCTGCAGCAAGTCTGCGGCAGGTCTGCCGCAGACTCTTCATCATACTGAAAGAGTATGCGGCAAGTCTGCGGCAGACCTGCCGCAGACTCTTCATCATACTGAAAGAGTATGCGGCAAGTCTGCGGCAAGTCTGCGGCAAAACTAATTTGCATGTGAAAAAGATGACTGCGGCAGGTCTGCCGCAGATCTGCGGTAAGTCTGCCGCAGGAGTATGCGGCAGGCTCATTTCTTTCCTATGGGATATGAATGTTTTGTTGAAAATAGGGAGGATGCATCCTTGGGGCACATTCCTGCTTGCAAATTGCAATAAAAAACTGAAAATATCCTTATTATTAATACTATAGAACTAATTGCATACATCTATAAATGTCCTTCGATGTTCTTTTTCCTCTGTTTCAAGCAATGACATTCAGTCTTGCAAGTTATTGGAAAATTATGTTTTATTTGGTTACAAAATTCATGTGGTTATAAAATTTATTCTTCTCTTTGTAGCCAATAATAGGTAACCAGATCAAATTTTACCTCTCAGATAATATGAAAATATCTTAACTTTGTTCATATTAAACAGGTGTGGTCTTCACCACCAAGCAAGAAGGACAAGACCCATCGACCAAACAAGGTATCATGAAGTTATTAAGAGAATTCTATTGTACAATGGTGCTCAGGGTGGTAAAAATTAAAAATTAAAACAAAATGTAAAATTGAAACATGAAAGGAGTATAAACTGATGCATGAAGTCCAATTTTCTGGGCTCTAGGGTTTGTAGATGCACTCTGGTTAAATGTGCTCCTTATTTTGAAGCATTTCAAACAAATTGTTGTACCTCATATTATTGAATGATTTTGGGAACGAACATTAATCTATTACTGAATCTGTTAAAACTAGGATGTCTGATCGCGCACCCGATGTTGTGTGCTAAAATCCTTCCCATAGAGATTGCACGCATCCCTATGCAGTCTACGTGCATTGTGCGCTCATGCAAAATTGGTCAATGATTGTATGAGAATTCCTTTTTTACCAGAACTCAAGTTTATCTTTAAGGTTAGATTTTATTTGGATGGTGGGGGTGGGGTTGGCTTGACACAGACAAAAAGTATAAATGAAGATAACTAGGCCTTTATTTAGAAGGAAGGAAACAACTCAAGTTTATCTTTAAGGTAAGATTTCATTTGGATGTTGGGGTGGGAGTGGGGTTGGCTTGACACGGACAAAAATATCAATGAAGGTACAACTAGGCCTATATTTAAAAGGAAGGGAACAACTCATAAGTAAATAGCATTTACTCTCTATGTTCCAGGTTAATATGTTGAACATCAAGTTGCACCACAAGAATTGACATGGTCTGTAAAATAGACAAAGTGATGAAGAATAGCTCAAAATCTTCAAATAAGTAGCATATGCACAGCTATTAAAAAAGAGAGATGTTGAACATTTCTTCTTGATTTCTTATAGAAATGATCTATGCCACCATAAAGCAAGAAGATGAAGAAGAGATATTTGAACCTATTACAACTCGAGGTGAAGGAGGAGGAGAAACTGAGCAATCAATTCCTGAAGGTATGATCAACATTCTTTTGTCTTTAAGGCAAATCAAATTCGTAAAGGGGAAGTTCATCCTGATATTGAGGTGGTTTTCACGAAAGTAGAAAAATGAGAGAAACAAATAAACATAAGTTTAAGCAAAATCTGATTAAAATATGAAATTCATGATATTTTTTAAAGTTGTCATCATTGAATTGCAAATCAGAAACACTGTGACGTATCTTGCCAGCTCCTCTTCCATTTGCTCTCGATCTAAGAAAATTCATGAACTTTTATTTTCTTCAGTTATTGATGACAGTATAGATTTGTATCATACAGTGCTTGTATAGAAACATATTTTTAATTATATTACCGGTTTAACATGATTGTGTGATTGATAATTTTCTAAAGGGAAAGTATGTATTAAAGGTACTATGTCCCTTTTGCAGCCAACCTCAAATTCTGTAGAACTTTGCAGGAATTATGAATATGTCATGTATGTCCTATCTGTGAAATTCAAATGTTAGCAGTGTCCTCGTATTCAAATTATGCAAGGAAACCCGTTGACTTGCTAGACTTCACTGTCAGACACTATTGAGTGACTGACTGGCTTTTTTTCTTCTTTGGTAATAACATACATGAAAAGAGTTGTAAAGGGTACATGAGCATTTGTCTACATCAATAACCCACTTCTTGTGATGGCCAAGATTAAACTGATTGAATCTTTGTGCAGCATAAAACGTATGACAATTCGGTACAATTGTTTGAAAATCAAGACTATTACTTTTGGGCTCTATGGCCCTAAAGTCGATTTGACAACTAATAGTCATTATTTTCCCACTTGAAGACATTTTCAAGCCCCACCTTTTTAGGGAAGTTCTAAATAAGTAGTATCTTTCAAATGCAGTTGGAATTTAACTTTTTCATTTTTTTGGCCTGCAAATGGGACATAGTACCTTTAACTATTATTGGTTTTATAGTACAGGGCAAATGGGAAGAAAGGTCACAAGATATGTCAAAGAGTTGCCAATTTGTGTTTGATTGATTGCAAAGTCATCTTTCCTATTTTTCATTGGTTTTTGCTCAAATTTTCACAGGTCTGTTTCTATCAAATTCAACTTAATATGAGAGTGGAATTTCCCTTCAATGATTAAAAAAAACAAAAATCAGTGCTGATAGCAAAAAAGAATCATTATCAGACCAATGACAGTTTAAAGAAATAGTATGGACAATACAACAGTTTTTAATTGTTGAAATAGATATTCACAAAGTATTATAAACAGGAATGTCACACAAGTTTATTTTTAATGACAACACATTGATCAAGGAAAATGTTAGTCTTTTGTAATTTGCATGATTGAGCTGCAATTTCTTAAACAGTGCATATAAATAAAAGTATACACCACATTTTGGTAAGTAGCTCCTAATTCAAAAGTCACAATCACTGTGACCTTGAAATCTATCCCATAATAAAAAGTAACCTGTTTTGTCGTCTGATACCCTATTCATTTTCTTTTTCTGCTATGGGTTCCAGAGTACCAGGGTCTTTGAGTGTTGTTAAAATCTCCTTGCACCGAGTTTGGGCTGATCCAACTATTAATGTGGATCAAGCCATATACATTGCGTCCCAGAAAAAAACAAAACCCAGATTTATCAATGTTTTATTATAACTTAATCACAATTATAATTGATAAAAGACGCATGTTTGGAAAGCTTAGATCCTCCTCTTTCATTTGATGCAACTCATATAATGCATATTTCACGCATGAGTGATTAAAATGAATTTGAAGAGAGGAAACCAAAAAGTCATTTGGCAGACAATATCTGAATTTCAAAGAGAAAATCACATTTCTAGAAAGTTGAGTTTCTGCCCTTTAATATGACACCTTAGATAGGAAAAATGAGCTAGTAATAACAAAGTTCTGTTTGTTTAAAGTAGTGCTTGCATTTCCATAATTTCATTAAACGAATTCGTTTTCACTGGCTGCCTGCCATAGCAACCAACAGAATTAACAAAAGACTTAACTCCGTTTTGTTGACAATCAGCCATGCATCAAGTCTTTCGTCTACCACCGATTGTCAACAAAACGGAGATAATAAGTCTTTTGTCAATTCTGCTTATTGCTACGACAGGCGGCCAGTGAAAACGAATTTGTTTGATAAAATTATGGAAATGCAAGCACTACTTTAAACAAACAAAACTTTGTCATTCCTTGCTCATTTTTCCTGGTTGAGGTGTCATATGAAAGGGCAAAAGCTCAACTTTCTAGAAATGTGATTTTCTCTTTAAAATTCAGAAACCGTCCGCCAAATGACTTTTTCGTTTCCTCTCTTCAAATTCATTTTAATCACTCATGCGTGAAATATGCATTATATGAGTTGCATCAAATGAAAGAGGAGGATCTAAGCTTTCCAAACATGTGTCATTTATCAATTATAATTGTGATTGAGTTATAATAAAATATTGATAATTCTCGGTTTCATTTTACCTGGGACGCACTGTACATGTGTCACTTGGTCTTAAATCTTTAAAAAAAACTTAAATTCTTCTTCTTGCTTAAGTGCTTCATTGTTTAAAGCAATGCAATGAACCCAAGCTTTCAAGAGACCATGTTTCAACCTTTCAATCCATAAGATCACCTTACTTTATTTTCAACAGCCGACTTATTGCTTGTCTCGTGATGTCCAATTAAGATCTCTCTCTACACACTTGTCCATTGCGTCATTCCACACACATTAGGTACATAAGGCATTTATCTTAAATAGCACATGAAAACTCAAAGGTAACTAAACTCAAATGCAAAGGAGAATGCATATGTTGAATACTCCTAAAGAACAGTAGACATTCATGAAGGAGGATAGCATCCCAAATTAACCTTGTCCAGTTTGAATTTCTCAATGAAGGGGCTTACCACAGACAAGGGATGACAATTATACAAAGATTGCGTCATCACAACGAAGAGAACATTATAAATGTTGCTTGCAATGAGTCTTTCTTTGAGTTTGATTCAACATTGTTCATGAAGTAAATAGTTGGATAATAGGATTACTGTATATTTTCCTCCCCAGATAAAGAGTTGGACAATGGAAAGGACAAGATACACCCACATATAACAGGATGCAGTGGAGAGAAGTCCCATCTTTGTAAACATTGCAGTAAGGCATTTACTGATGAGAACACTCTGATACTACATCAGAAAACACACCAGGGCGAGTATGAGCATACTCACCACCTTAGAACACGAACAGGAGAGAAACCTTTCAAGTGTTCCCAGCGTGATAAGGGTTTTATTCATATTAGTAAACTAAGTGGCCATTTACTAACACACGGTGGAGAAAAGCCTTTCAAGTGTTCTCAGTGTGATAAGAGATTTTGTCATAGAGTTTCCCTAACCTGTCATTTAAGAACACACCATGGTGAAAAGCCTTATAAATGTTCCCAATGTGATGAGGTATTTTGTTACCAAAGTAATCTTACTACCCATTCAAGAACGCATAGTGTAGAAAAGCTGTATCGGTGTCCCGATTGTAATAAAGGATTTTCTCAAAAGTCTAGTCTTTCTAGCCACCTTAGAGTACATACAGGACAGAAACCTTTTAAATGTTCTCATTGTGGTAAGGGTTTTTTCTCACCAAAGTAATCTTACCTGTCATGTAAGAATGCATATAGGAGAAAAGCCTCATCTTTGTCCTTATTGTGATAAAGGATTTTCTCAGAAGACTAAGCTTACTATCCACCTTAGAACACATACAGGAGAGAAACCCTTTAAGTGTTCTCATTGTGATAAGGGTTTTTCTCATCAATGGAATCTTATCCGTCATGTAAGGACGCACACAGATGAAATGCCTTATCAGTGTCCTTATTGTGAGAAAGGATTTTCTCAAAAGTCTAGTCTTTCTAGCCACCTTAGAGTACATACAGGAGAGAAACCTTTTAAGTGTTCCCAGTGTGATAAGGGATTTTCTCAAAAGACTATGCTTACTTTCCACTTTAGAACACATACAGGAGAGAAACCCTTTAAGTGTTCCCAGTGTAATAAGGGTTTTTCTCACCAATGTAATCTTATCCGTCATGTAAGGACGCATACAGGAGAAATGCGTTATCAGTGTTCCCATTGTGATGAGGTATTTTGTTACCAAAATAATCTTACTACCCATTCTAGAACGCACAGTGTAGAAAAGCTGTATCGGTGTCCCAATTGTGATAAAGGATTTTCTCAAAAGTCTAGTCTTTCTAGCCACCTTAGAGTACATACAGGAGAGAAACCTTTTAAGTGTTCTCATTGTGCTAAGGGTTTTTCTCACCGAAGTAATCTTACCTGTCATGTAAGAATGCATACAGGAGAAAAGCCTCATCAGTGTTTTTATTGCAATAAAGGATTTTCTCAAAAGACTAAGCTTACTATCCACCTTAGAACACATACAGGAGAGAAACCCTTTAAGTGTTCTCATTGTGATAAGGGTTTTTCTCATCAATGGAATCTTATCCGTCATGTAAGGACGCATACAGGAGAAATGCCTTATCAGTGTCCTTATTGTGAGAAAGGATTTTCTCAAAAGTCTAGTCTTTCTAGCCACCTTAGAGTACATACAGGAGAGAAACCCTTTAAGTGTTCCCAGTGTGATAAGGGATTTTCTCAAAAGACTAAGCTTACTATCCACCTTAGAACACATGCAGGAGAGAAACCCTTTAAGTGTTCCCATTGTAATAAGGGTTTTTCTCACCAATGTAATCTTATCCGTCATGTAAGGACGCATACAGGAGAAATGCCTTATCAGTGTTCACATTGTGATAAGGGATTTTCTCAACAGACTAAGCTTACAATCCACCTTAGAACTCATACAGGAAAGAGTCCCTTTAAGTGTTCCAAGTGTAATAAGGGTTTTTCTCACCAATGTAATCTTATCCGTCATGTAAGGACGCATACAGGAGAAATGCGTTATCAGTGTTCCCATTGTGATGAGGTATTTTGTTACCAAAGTAATCTTACAACCCATTCTAGAACGCACAGTGTAGAAAAGCTGTATCGGTGTCCCAATTGTGATAAAGGATTTTCTCAAAAGTCTAGTCTTTCTAGCCACCTTAGAGTACATACAGGAGAGAAACCTTTTAAGTGTTCTCATTGTGATAAGGGTTTTTCTCACCGAAGTAATCTTACCTGTCATGTAAGAATGCATACTGGAGAAAAGCCTCATCGGTGTCCCTATTGTGATAAAGGATTTTCTCAAAAGACTAAGCTTACTATCCACCTTAGAACACATACAGGAGAGAAACCCTTTAAGTGTTCTCATTGTGATAAGGGTTTTTCTCATCAATGGAATCTTATCCGTCATGTAAGGACGCACACAGATGAAATGCCTTATCAGTGTCCTTAATGTGATAAAGGATTTTCTCAAAAGACTAAGCTTACTATCCACCTTTTTTTCAAGATTCAAGATTTAAATTAATAATAATAAATTACATACTGTAAAATATTGCTAGCGAAATTGAGTAAATGTTTAAATCAAAACAAATAAAATAAAATGCATACAGATACGGGAATTTAATTAACTGTAACGTAGGAAAAACTGTGATTAAAATGCAATACAAATTTCATTCAGATGGTGTAATAAATATTAAAAAGTATTAAAATTGGAGTATTGGCAGTGTGGTAATCACAAGTGTGACATGAATACAGTACATGTATAAGCATATTGCACATAAGAAAAAATAGAAATCCTTGGATATCATTGGTCACAGTAACAATGGCAGATGATTAAAGAATGTTGTACTGTGAAACATCATCAGAAGAGAAAGTGTTGGAGAGGAGCAGGGAGAGACAGGAAGTGAGACAGAGAAAAACAGAGAGGAGGAAGGAGAGATGACGGGAGAAAGAGGAGGAGGCAGAGACAGCAGAGAGAGAGAGAGACAGACAGAGAGATGAGAGAGAGGGGGTGGGAGTGAAATTTTTAAAAGTAGAGAGGAAAGACCAGAAGTAAAGAAGAGAAAAGGACATTTGAAAAGTAACTAGTTCAAATAGAGAAAAGGGATGAGAGAGTGAGAGGAAGGATACAAGTACATGCAATATCAAAATACGAGTGAATGTGAGAACCTGCCGTGCCAATCATCATGACAGTTGATATTGCATAATTGCACATAATTATATTGCTGAAATACATGATATGTAACATGCTGATAATTACCTAAGCCTCTATTTATTATTATTTAAGGAACGATTGAAAGATGGGATGGGAGAATTTCGGTACCTCGAAGTTCTCATCTTAGGCAAGGACAAATCAAGTGCATTTCGCGGGGTACGGCTACAGTTATTGACTCTGCTCTCAGGCAGGAGATGTCGATGAACTTTAGATTGGAGGAGTGATTTTGCAAATCTTAAAAAAAGGGATGTGCGTCTCTCTTTAGGAGAGGAGACGCCAAGATGAGATTGCAGTTCATCATAAGTTCTGGAGTCGGGGTAGCTAATGATCCTGAGAGCGATCTCCTCTGAACTCGCTCGATGCTTACAGAGTGGATGTTTGTGATCCCTGATGTCCAAACAGCTAGGTGCTGCAAATTCTAGCACTGGCCTGATCGATGTACAACATGATGTAGATAGTAGCAAGATCCTTGGTGGTAACACCATTCCTCCGAAGCTTAGTCAGGAGATAAAGTCTTCTGGAAGCGTTAGAGATCAAACGGCTGTCCTGCCCATCCCATTTGAGATCATCCTGAAGGAAGACCCCTAGGAGCTGATGGGATGAGACAGCTTCCAGTGTGGTAGAGTTGATGTCAAGAACGAGGGGTGGGGGGGGGGGGGACTGGCAAAGAAATGAAATGAAAGACCCATCGACCAAACGAGGTATCATTAAGTCATCAAGAGAATTCTATTGTACAATGGTGCTCAGGGTTGTAAAAATTAAAAATTAAAACAAAATGTAAAATTGGAACATGAAAAGAATATGTACTGGTATTGAAGTCCAATTTTCTGGGCTCTAGGGTTTGTAGATGCACTCTGGTTTAATGTGCTCCTTATTTTGAAGCATTTCAAACAAATTGTTGTACCTCATATTATTGAATGATTTTGGGAACGAACATTAATCTATTACTGAATTTGTTAAAAAATAAAACCCCTTGTGGATCTGACTAGGAAGTATAGTAGTAAAGATACAACGTAGACCTATATACTCAGAACTGGGATATCGTTTCACAAAACCTTCAATGGTGCAAGTTCACTGACATCCCCTTGAAATACATGTATGTGTTAAATTCAATACCGGTACACACATTTTGATGGGTTGTCTACAAACCTCCATTTATTAAAGTTTTGTAAAGCGCTGCCCTGTTTTCTGTTTTGAATGAATTAATAATTCATTGTCGTAAGATGTGGACTCTGGTACCCTCTGGAATTTTTCAAAAAGATTGTTTGCTAGGTTGATAATGACAATATTTTTTTTTAATAACACATGATTTTAAAATTTCTCTGTGGTCAGTATCATACACCAACCAACCAAACTCCAATCTTGGACCAAACACTATAACCTGAGTCTGACTCTTACCCTAATTCTTACCTCACCTGAATTTCAATTGCAACCTTAACCCTAATCCAGAGTCTGGAGTAATTGATATTGGAGCATATGTCGGACCACCCCATTTAATCGTGGTGGTGGTTATTTTACCTGACTGCTAAAAAAGCATAAATGCTTGTAAGTAAGCAACCAGACAGCCGACGACTTTAGGTCCTCTCCGAGGGACCTGGTAATGAAGATTAATGCCTTACCAAAGGGCACTATAAGTGCATCGACTTGGTTTCGAACCCGGGTCACTAGATTACAAGACCACGGCTCTACTGACTGAGCTATCGCGCCTCCCCTTGTCAGTTACTTTGAATTTATTAACTGATTTATTATTTTGTCTAAAAGTAGTTATGTTTAGAGACAAAGTTGAGTTCTGGTCATGCGATTGCATTGTGAAAGAAAAGGTGTGGAATGGATCAGAAAAAGTTGATCATGTAGCATGTAAGTATTGTTGTGTACTGCAAGGTTCTAGAGTCATCAAAATCATAATAAATTTGGCCCAGTCTTGGTAAAGTAACAAGCACTATACACAGAAAGATGTATATGGGACTACACAAATGGTGTTGGGCCTACTTGTCTTGATTTTCTTATCTTTCTATATTCATTCCTCAGCCAGTATACATTTTCTACCAAAATTATTTGGCAAATGACATTTATTTGTAATCTTGAACATTCAGTGTAAGCTTCGTTTGATTCTGTGAGAATTCCTTTTTTTTTTTTTACCAGAACTCGGTTTATCTTTAAGGTAAGATTTTATTTGGATGTTGGGGGTGGGGTTGGCTTGACACAGACAAAAAGTATAAATGAAGATAACTAGGCATTTATTTAGAAGGAAGGGAACAACTCAAGTTTATCTTTAAGGTAAGATTTTATTTGGATGTTGGGGGTGGGGTTGGCTTGACACAGACAAAAATATCGATGAAGATAACTAGGCCTATATTTAGAAGGAAGGGAACAACTCGTACATGTAAGTAAATAGCATTTACTCTCTATGTTCCAGTTTAATATCTTGAACATCAAGTTGCACCACAAGAATTGACATGGTCTGAAAAATAGACAAAGTGATGAAGAATAGCTCAAAATCTTCAAATAAGTACATGCACAGCTATTAAAAAAGAGAGATGTTGAACATTTCTTCTTGATTTCTTTTAGAAATGATCTATGCCACCATAAAGCAAGAAGATGAAGAAGAGATATTTGAACCTATTACAAGTCAAGGTGAAGGAGGAGGAGAAACTGAGCAATCAATTCCTGAAGGTATGATCAACATTCTTTTGTCTTTAAGGCAAATCAAATTCGTAAAGGGGAAGTCCATCCTGATATTAAAGTGGTTTTAACGAAAGTAGAAAAATGAGAGAAACAAATTAATATAAGTTTAAGCAAAATCTGATTAATATGAAATTCATGATTTTTGTTTAAAGAGAAGGTTGAGTTCTGGGAAGAGGGGAAAAATAATTTGTGAGCGTCATCATTCTAATTATGCAAGTGTGAAAGAACATCAGATAAGACATGTTCCTTGAAAAGCATGGCTCTTCAAATGCCTTCTAAATATGTCATGTAACATATATCGTAAAACTTGGGGGGTAGGATTTTTACGCCACGTGTTCGTGTAGTCCCATATACATCTTTCTGTGTACAGTGTTTGTAACTTTATTACCAAGACTTGGCCAAATTTCTTATCATTTTGATGATTCCAGAACCTTGCAATACACACAAAGTCTTATATGCTAGATGATCAACCTTTTCTGGTCGATTCCACACCGTTTCTTTCACAATGCAATCGCATGACCAGAACTAAACCTCATCTTTAAGTTCTCATCATTGAAATGCAAATCAGCAAAACTGTGACGTATCTTGCAAGTTCCTCTCTCATTTGCTCTCTACAGAAAATTCATAAACTTTTATTTTCTTCAGTTATTGATGACAGTATAGATTTGTTTCATACAGTGCTTGTATAGAAACATACTTTCAATTATATTACCGGTAAACATGATTGTGTGATTGATAATTTTCTAAAGGAAAAGTATGTATTAACTATATTGGTTTTATAGTACAGGGCGAATGGGAAGAAAGTTCACAAGATATTTAAAAGAGTTGCCAATTTGTGTTTGATTGCAAATTCATAACTTTCCTATTTTTCATTGGTTTTTGCTCAAATTTTCACAGGTCTGTTTCTATCAAATTCAACTTAACCACTTGACTGCTATTGGCTTAAAATGCATTCATACCCCCGGTGCTACTGCATTTTTGTACTGTACAAAAACCTGACAAAAACTGCACAAAAAAGCTGGATTTTTTGGGTAGAGCGTTATCTACTGTTCAAGACCTGTATAACATCATTGCAGTGCTAATTACACAGTAGGGCGTGGCATTATGCAGTGCTACGGTCTTGGAAGTGCAATGCCCTAAGCACGTAAATGTACGTGGGTAGCAGTCAGGTGGTTAATATGAGGGTGGAATTTCCCTTCAATCATTTTTTTTTGAAAAATCAGTGCTGATAGCAAAAAAAAAATCATTATCAGACCAACGACAGTTTAATAAAATAGTATGGACAATACAACAGTTTTGAATTGTTGAAATAGGTATTCACAAAGTATTATAAACAGGAATGTCAGGCAAGTTTATTTGTAATGACAACACATTGATCAAGGAAAATGTTTAATAGTCTTTCGTAATTTGCATGATTGAGCTGCAATTTCTTATACAGTGCATATGCGGTAAATAAAAGTATACACCACATTTTGATGAGTAGCTCCTAATTCAAAAGTCACAATCACTGTGACCTTGAAATCTATCCCATAATAAAAAGTAACCTTTTCTGTCGTGTGATACCCTATTCATTTTCTGCGATAGGTTTCAGAGTACCAGGGTCTTTTAGTGTTGTTAAAATCTCTTTGCACCAAGTTTGGGCTGATCCAACTAATGTGGATTAAGCCATATACATGTGTCACTTTGGTCTTAAATCTTTAAAAAAACTTTAAATTCTTCTTTAGCTTGCTTAAGTGCTCCATTGTTTAAAGCAATGCAATGAATCCAAGTTTTCAAGAGACCATGTTAACCTTTTAATCCATAAGATCACCTTACTTTATTATTTAAAGCCGACTTATTGCTTGTCTTGTAATGTCCATGATCTCTCTACACACTTGTCCATTGCGTCCTTCCACACACATTAGGTACATAAGGCATTTATCTTGAATAGATAAAGAGTTGGACAATGGAAAGGACAAGATACACCTACATATAACAGCATGCAGTGGAGAGAAGTCCCATCTGTGTTTCCATTGTGATAAGCGTTTTATTCATATTAGTAAACTAAGTGGCCATTTACTAACACACAGTGGAGAAAAGCCTTACAAGTGTTCTCAGTGTGATACGAGATTTTGTCATAGAGTTTTCCTGACCTGTCATTTAAGAACACACCATGGTGAAAAGCCTTATAAATGTTCCCAATGTTATGAGGTATTTTGTTACCAAAGTAATCTCACTACCAATTCAAGAACGCATAATGTAGAAAAGCTGTATTGGTGTCCCGATTGTGATAAAGGATTTTCTCAAAAGTCTAGTCTTTCTAGCCACCTTAGAGTACATACAGGACAGAAACCTTCTAAGTGTTCTCATTGTGATAAGGGTTTTTCTCACCAAAGTAATCTTACCTGTCATGTAAGAATGCATACTGGAGAAAAGCCTCATCGGTGTCCCTATTGTGATAAAGGATTTTCTCAAAAGACTAAGCTTACTATCCACCTTAGAACACATACAGGAGAGAAACCCTTTAAGTGTTCTCATTGTGATAAGGGTTTTTCTCATCAATGTAATCTTATCCGTCATGTAAGGACGCATACAGGAGAAATGCGTTATCAGTGTCCTTATTGTGAGAAAGGATTTTCTCAAAAGTCTAGTCTTTCTAGCCACCTTAGAGTACATACAGGAGAGAAACCCTTTAGGTGTTCCCAGTGTGATAAGGGATTTTCTCAAAAGACTAAGCTTACTATCCACCTTAGAACACATACAGGAGAGAAACCCTTTAAGTGTTCCCAGTGTAATAAGGGTTTTTCTCACCAATGTAATCTTATCCGTCATGTAAGGACGCATACAGGAGAAACACATCTATTGTTCCCATTGTGATAAAGGATTTTCTCAAAAGACTAATCTTACTATCCACCTTAGAGTACATACAGGAGAGAAACCTTTTAAGTGTTCCCAATGTGATAAGGTTTTTTCTCAAAGAAGTACCCTTGTTAGACATTTAAGAACACACAGTGCAGAAAAGCCTTATCGATGCACCCATTGTGAAGAGAAATTTTGTCGTAGCTATACCCTGACCAGTCATTTAAGAACACACAGTGAAGAAAAGCCTCATCAATGTCTCTATTGTGATAAGACATTTTCTCAAAAGACTAAGCTTACTATCCACCTTAGAACACATACAGGAGAGAAACCCTTTAAGTGTTCCCAGTGTAATAAGGGCTTTTCTCACCAATGTAATCTTATCCGTCATGTAAGGACGCATACAGGAGAAATGCGTTATCAGTGTCCTTATTGTGAGAAAGGATTTTCTCAGAAGTCTAGTGTTTCTAGCCACCTTAGAGTACATACAGAAGAGAAACCCTCTAAGTGTTCCCAGTGTGATAAGGGATTTTCTCAAAAGACTAAGCTTACTATCCACCTTAGAACACATACAGGAGAGAAACCCTTTAAGTGTTCCCAGTGTAATAAGGGCTTTTCTCACCAATGTAATCTTATCCGTCATGTAAGGACGCATACAGGAGAAATGCCTTATCAGTGTTCACATTGTGATGAGGTATTTTGTTACCAAAATAATCTTACTACCCATTCTAGAACGCACAGTGTAGAAAAGCTGTATCGGTGTCCCAATTGTGATAAAGGATTTTCTCAAAAGTCTAGTCTTTCTAGCCACCTTAGAGTACATACAGGAGAGAAACCTTTTAAGTGTTCCCAATGTGATTTGGTTTTTCTCAAAGAAGTACCCTTTGTAGACATTTAAGAACACACAGTGGAGAAAAGCCTTATCGATGCACCCACTGTGGTAAGAGATTTTGTCGTAGCTATACCCTGACCTCTCATTTAAGAACAAACAGTGAAGAAAAGCCTCATCAATGTCTCTATTGTGATAAGACATTTTCTAAAAAGAATTATCTTACTAGCCACTTAAGAACACATTCAGGAGAGAAACCCTTTAAGTGTTCCCATTGTGATACAGGTTTTTCTCACAGAAGGATATTATTAGTCCATTATTGCTTTCAAGAGAGATGGACGTGTTTTTCGCGAGCTCCTGAAAATTGCACTTTTCTGCAGCCAAATAATGGACTCAAAGAAACTTTTTATACCAAACTGACGACGAAAGGACGGTGGTGAGATTTGTGTAATTCATTTTTCACAAATTTTTAGACTTTTAAAGATTTTGGCCATTTTATACTGTTATTTTGGTCAATTTTTAAATATTTATTTTCTTGATTTTTGAACATTAAGCGCAATATAAACACTTTACGCAGAATTCATCTTGGATACAGCGCAAGTGAGCGCAAAGATACAACGCAAGTGTGCGCTAGTGAGTTATCTCAGTATTTATTACGCACTGATGTTAACGCAGTACTTTTCAGCAAACAGGTGAACAATTATATTAAATGACGTCACAATGACCATCGTTAACGTAAGAAGTCTCCGTGTGAAGGAACTCAAAGCTGAACTGCAGAAACGTGGTCTAAATAAAAATGGTGTAAAAGAAACTTTGGTAAATAGGCTGCAAAGTGCAATCAATGACAATATCCATCAAGCGAGTAATGACAAAAGAAATCAGGAGACGAATACTGAGCAAGCTGATCTCTATGACCTATTCAATCTAGTTTTGTCGTCAGTTCATGAACTAGCCGACAGGCTTCCATCTTGAAGCTAAGTTCGATAGTGCTGATCTGGTAAAGGAGAAAATAGATCTCAATGAGATAGTGGGAACTATCTCAAGCGTTAATCCCGCGAGGTATGATAATCGACCAGGAAATGTTTATACCGTCCCGACGAAGAATAGGTTCGATGTCCTTGCGGATAATCATGTCACTGACGCTGAGCCTGCTACTTCGATGTCGACTAGTGACCAGATGAAAGAGTACCGAGATGGGCATCGCCAGCGCCGCTTGTCTGAGCTACATGAATCTGTCCTCGAAGGCACAGACGTCGAGCCTCCTACTCCGATGTCGACGAGCGACCAGATGAAAGAGTACCGAGATAGGCATCGCCAGCGCCGCTTGTTGGAGGTACCTGCTGCTGTTTTCAAAGGCACTGACGCAAAGCCTTCGACTTCGATGTCGACGAGCGACCCTGCAATGAGTACCGACAAGGGCATCGCCAACGCCGCTTGTCTAAGCTACCTGATGTTGTCATCGAAGGCGACTCGATGATTAAGCACATCGAGGGCCGACTCCTGAGCCGAAAACATCGAGTAGTCTGCCATCCGAACCCAGGGGCAACGGTGGCTGATATCTCCTCTAAGAAGGCTACTGAGGGTGTAAAGGCGAAAGGAGACGTCATTCTACAAGTTGGGTCAAATGACTTGTCGAAAGGTAATGGTAGTACATCCACCGCCGATGACATCATAACATTAGCAGACGTGATTGCAGCAAAAGGCTGTGATGTATGCTTGCCTGGTGTTATACACCGCAGATGGGAATCGGTTCACCAGAGGCGCAGTGTCGATGGGGTTAATGGGCGATTGAGAAGAGCTGCCCGTGAAAGGAGATGGGGTTTCGTTGACAACGAAAACATAGGTGACAGGCACCTCGGCAGAGATGGGGTCCACATCAATAAGGCAGGACAAGCTGTTCTTGCCTCTAATCTACGCCACTTTATTGAGCGACCTCAAGGGCCACCTACACCTACTCAGCAAACGTCCTACGCTGAAGTTGTTGGATCTTCAACGCAGGATTTCGAGATGATTGCTCCGAGAGGAAGGCTAAAGTCTGCACCTGCTCTTCCAATGTTTCCACTGACAAAAGCTCAACAGGGGTGGGACGAGCATCTACGTCTTGTCATGGCAACATGCTGTTAAACTCTGTCTCTGATACTGGCATACTACATCATAATCTTCAGGATCAATGTCATGAACTGAATAAGAGTAACATTAAACAGTTGGAAGGTGGTTCAGTTCCTCCGTTTAGAAACAGGGGCTTAAAATTTGCCCATTTGAATATTCATAGCTTAGTTGCTAAGATTGACGAACTTAGATTACTTCTGAGAAATGCATCATTTGATGTTATTGGTTTAAATGAAACATTTTGCGACTCCATGATTGATGATTCTGAATTGTATATAGATGATTATATTTTATTACGTAGAGACCGTACGAGACATGGTGGTGGTGTGGCTGTATATATATCCAAGAGGTTCAATTATAAAAGAAGGGATGATTTGATTTCATCTACTTTAGAATGCCTTTGGTTTGAATTGCATTATCCAAATAAGTCTCCCATCCTGGTTGGAGAGTTTTACAGACCTCCAAATTCTCACGTTGATTTCTTTGAAGAATTAGACGAAAATTTGGACTCTGCTCTCTCGGAAGATATGAGCTGTATTATTTTAGGTGATTTCAATTGTGATTGTATGCCACACCAACTTGATCTGAATGCTGAAAAGTTAATGTTTTATACAAATATGTACGGGCTAAGTCAGCTAATTGATACTGCCACAAGAGTTACAAATACCTCTTCTACTTTAATTGATTTGATATTTGTATCAGACAAGGAACTTTACAATGAATGGGGAATATTTGAAACTAGCATAAGTGATCATTATTTGGTGTATACGGTTCGCGATTTTAGTGCAAAGATCCATAACAAATCTGAATACGCAGAATTTCGCTCGTTTAAAAATCTTGACGAGGAGAAATTTTACAATGAATTGAGAAGTACTCCTTGGCAGGTCATAAAAGATATAGATAATGTTGATGTTGCGTGGGATATGTGGTTGACTCTATTCAATAATATAATCAACAAGCACATACCAGTATGTAAAAAGCGGATAAGAAAAAAGGCATGTCCATGGATATCTGACGAGATTGTTAAGCTTATGACGGAACGTGATAAAGTTCTCAAAGCTGCTAAAGCTAACAAAAGTGATGATCTTTGGGACACCTACAAATATCTAAAGAATACAGTTATTCATCTCATGAGGAAAAGAAAAAGAGAATATAATGCAGACCAGATCTCGCAAAATCATAACAATAGTAAGCAAATGTGGAGATGTTTGAGAAACCTGGTGCCTAAGTCATTACCTATATCTCCCAATAGCATAAATGTTGATGGTGCTAATGTGTCAGACAATGCAAATATTGCTGAAGCTTTTAATGACCTTTTCATTTCTAATGCTACTAAGATTACAAAGGACCTGCGAAGGAATAAGTCTCAACTGAGAGTAGACGAGGACAATAATATTGGTCCAACTCATTCGCAATTTAATTTGAATTTGATTACTGAGGATTTTGTATTGAAACAGATTGATAATCTGAGTATAGATAAAGCAACTGGTGAAGATCACATCAGCTGTAAACTTTTAAAGATGACGAAGAATGTTATCGCAGAGTCTCTTTGTGATATCATTAACAAATCCCTGTCTACAGGAGTTGTTCCACGTGAATGGAAAAAGGCTCGGGTAGTACCAATATTCAAATCGGGAGATATTTCTTCTTTGAATAATTACCGCCCCATTTCAATATTACCTATCGTGAGTAAAATTATAGAAAGGGCCGTCCACCAACAACTCAGTGAATTCTTGGACGTGAATCAATTATTACACCCTAATCAGTCTGGATTTAGACCTAAACATTCAACAGCTACTGCCCTTGCAAAACTTGTAAATCAATGGTCGTTGAATATTGATAACAAAAAAATTTCTGGAGTTGCCTTCATAGATCTTCGTAAGGCTTTTGATACTGTTGACCATGAGCTACTTCTACATAAACTAGCTTGTATAGGTTGTAGTAATAGGACTATTTATTGGTTCAAATCATATTTAGGGGATCGACAACAAGTGACCCAATTCAAAGGAGCCAAGTCGCATCCATCAACCATCAAATTAGGTGTGCCACAAGGTTCAATTCTTGGTCCCCTTTTATTTTCAATATATGTTAATAGTCTACCTGAATGTACTCCTGAAGGTATCATAGATATGTATGCTGACGATACGACACTTACCGTCAGTGCAAATGATGCAACTGTTGTGGAAGAAAAATTAACTGTTGCGTTAAACAGAGTCATGGCATGGATTAAGGAAAATCGTCTTGTTCTTAACACTGAAAAAACTTGTGTCATGTTAATAGGCTCTCCTGCTAATCTCAAGAAAATTGAATCTTTTACCATTTCATTAAACGGCAATTTGATCAAAAGAGTTCAATTCACCAAATGCTTAGGACTTTTGATAGATGAAGAATTGAAATGGTCTAAACAAATCGAAAACGTAAGTAAACTTACCCAGAAAAACATTAGCATGATAAAGAGAGCAAAACGTTTTTTGCCTCAAAAATCCTTAAAGTTACTTTATAACAGTCTAGTGTTGCCACGATTAGATTACTGCTCTGTTGTATGGTCGAACCGATTTCATTCTCATACAACTAAGCTGCAAAAAATTCAAAAGAGGGCCGCAAGAATAATATTGAACAAGACATATGACACACCGTCGGCTGATTTGTTCACAAGTCTTAAATGGATGACACTAGACAAGCGGTTTGAGTTAAGTCGCGTTATGATGATATATAAATGCGTTCATAACTTAGCACCTTCTTACCTTCAGGTAGGCTTAATCAATCCTAATGATGTACATGAGCATCATACAAGGCAAATAGACAGTGGATGTTTACGTGTGCCTAGATTTCACACTGATTGATATAAGTGTAGCCCAATTGTTTCTTCCATATTTGAATGGAATAAGCTAGATAATTCATTGAGAACGGCTTCCTCTGTCAATTCATTTAAGAGATTGTTTAAACAAAGTCGTAATTTGTGAATGGCTCAGCCGTACATACACTACGTGCATGTTCTGTAATATTTACATGACTTATTCACATAATTGCGACTTAATTAATATTTTCCTATTGACATTACTGTTTACTAGGTTAATGATTATATTTATTTTGCAAACGAGTATTATTTTTGTAACTGTTCTGTATAAATGTTATAAACGATGTAAATATGTTCATTCAGGGCCCCATGGAAGACCACTACTTGTTGGTGAATGGGCTACCCTGTCAAAATATTAGAAATAAATAAATAAATAAATACATAAAAGGACCCTTTTAAGACATCTTAGAACACACATTGGTGAAAATCCTTATAAATGATCCCTTGTGATAAGAGTTTTTCTCAAAGAAGTACCCTTTTAATACATCTTAGAACACACATTGGAGAAAAGCCTTTTAGATGTTCCCATTGTGATAAGGGATTTTCTCAAAGAAGTACCCTTTTAAGACATCTTAGAACGCACAGTGGTGAAAATCCTTATAAATGATCCCTTGTGATAAGAGTTTTTCTCAAGGAGGTGATCTCAATCGTCATATTAGGACACAAACATGTTCTAGAAAAAGAACCTTAAAAATGTGCTAATTGTAATAAGATACTTTCTTATAAAGGGGATACTAGCTAACTTAGGAAACATACAGGATTAAACCCTTTAAAGTGGTATGTGTGCACTTGCATAATGGCACCTGGCTCGGATACTGCTCAGGGAGTGGAGCATGTACTGATCAGCAATTGCATCCAATGACTGGCGTATCAATAATGACAATGTCAGTAATGTACTTAAAACTTAGTATACAAATGTGACTATTATTATTAAGGGTTTTTTATCTAGAGGAAATCTAGCCCTGTTGGAACTTTCATACATTTTATTTTTTTTAAAGTTAAAAAAAAAATTGTTTTAGAAACAAAAGCCGACCGTAGATTTCAAGATTTATGAGTCGGTCAAAGGGCAATACAACATTAGGCCTTGCATGTGAGCCGTTGACTGATTGCAAGATCATGAGCCTTATTGTGTAAATGTCATGATGTCCATGGACTTCTAGGAATGCTCATATTTATATTTGTTCAATCAAATTCATATTCGTGATATATCTTTTCATGAGTAGTTTGTATGTCCAGCCATTAGAGTATATAAAGCTGAACCTCTTCATTATATCAAATTCTTTGTGATTTTTTTTGTTTTTTTTGTAGTAGCTCTATACAGAGCGAATTTATTTTTCATTTCTTTCCACATAATATAAACAATGACAGACAATAATAAAGGTAATGATATAACAGAAGTGAGCATTGAAATATCTTTGACATTGTTTTTGGTCATTGTAATGCAAAAATATTTGGTTACAGGAAATGGAAAAAAACGAACCTACTTGAAAGCAACGCTTGTTGGGTGTAGG